ATAATTACAAAGTAATAAACGGTGCTGGGAAAATAATGTGTGAAACACAGCGCTCACCAAGGGGTTTGGAGTAGCTCATGTGCGGGTAGGGTTATGACACCGTCCACTGTTTGTTGTGCATTAATGCCAGAATCTGATGGTCATGAGCTATAGCATGTAGTGTAAATGTGTCAGAGGAGCGACAAGGCGTTTTTTGAAAAGGGATAAGTTGTGGGGTATTAATTACATGTCCTGGGAGGTCGTTCCACGGCTGTGTTATGGATTGAGGGGAACGCCTCTGATATGATTGCACAAACGATGCCTGTTAAGATTGTCACTGGCACGGTTGGAGGGTGCTTATGGTAACGGCTTGTAACGCTGGCCAATCGAACGGTGTTGCCCTGACCTGATGACGTTAGCTTAGCCGGTGAGACGGAAATTGAGCGAACGTGAGAACGATCCTAGCCGCACGTATTCGTGCAGATTCTGAGCCTTCGGAACGGACGCACACGAGAGGGGATTACAATAGACACGCGCTAATGACTTAGACGCGAACGCTGGCCAGCTGACGACTCACACGCAATCACGTGACCCGACCGACTCCCAAGTAAGGCGAAGAGGAAAGAAAGACAAGCGGTTCTCTGAAGGCTTTTACGACCAACAAAGGGCATTTCACAGCCAATGCCATGGGTCATTAAGTTAGGGAAAATTGCTGCCACGATGAGGTGGTAGTTTGTAAAAGACCATTGTCAAAAGGTGCGCAGTTGGGCCGCGTCTCGGAGTGGCTGAAGGCTGCTGCGTTGTGGGGAGGAATTGGACCTCGCTTTCCACAGCTATTTTGCCGGGGTTTCTGGCGCGTTTTTGCGGGAATATTTGACGGTCCCGCAACACTGTGACACTCGGGGGCAGAAAAGGTTTCGACAAGATTCCAATCGACTGTACCGCATGACCAGCTTAAACTGATGACCCCATGGAGATGCGTTTCGACTGAGTTTCAAAAGAGAATGGCATGGGTGGTTGGGGTTTCTCAGGATCAGGTACACCAATATGAGATCCCCATTAGACGCCGATAACGCCCGCTGCATATTTTAAGGGTTTTCAGCCTGTGGGTAGGGAAGGGTGGATAAACCTCTGACGTTCTTTGTCCCCCTACTTTGTGCAGTATCGAGAGCGTTGAGATGGTTCTACAGCCAGGGTTGCCACGCTTGAATAGCGTATTCCGCGTGCGAACTTATGTATGCAAAAAGTATTTTCGGAAAGACTGAGGCGCCAAACTTCCCGAACGCTCTACGAAGTAGGCCGAAGTGCTGGTTTTCCATCTTTGCTGCCTTTTCAGTCTGTCTCAAACAACCGAGGTCATCTTGAACAAGCACGCCAAAATCGTACTCATGAGAAGCCAGCTGTAGTATTTGTGGTCCTAGGCGGTAGTTGTGGATACTCTGGTGCCGTATGCTGAGAACTTTGCACTTGATGACGTTCAACTGCAGCATATTCTCTTTGGACCATGTGTACGCTTTGTGCAGACCATCCCGTAAGGCTGTGTGGCCCTCCGCTGTAGTTATTGCACGCAATATCTTTGAAGCATCGGCAAATAGCAGACACTTTAAAGATAGCAGTCTCGCGAGATCATTTATGAAGACCAGGAACACGCGGTATCCGGGTACCGAGCCCTGAGGTAAGCCTCACTGAACTTCATTGGGTTCCGATAGATGTCGTGGAGCGAGAGTTTCCTATCAAGCCCAGAACGGGATCTCCGTTTCCATATTTATGTAGTTTGTGCAGCAGAATGTCTTTGGGAAATCTAGCTAGGTAGCGTCAACTTCTACACTACTGTGCACAGATTCCGTCCAGCCTGCACGAGCTATCAACAGATTAGTGGGGCAGTACCGACTTTGGCGAAATCAGTGCTGCTCCGGAAGGAGAATTTTGTTGTTCTCCAGGTACCTACCCCATTAAACTCTCAGCTACAATGGACTCTATAACCTTGGAGATCACCGGAAGTAGTGTTATCGGGAGACAATTTGCGGGTTCAGCACGGCTACCATTTTGTAGATTGGGGTGATGATCTCGTGCTCCAATATCGTGAGGGCGTGCATCTTGTTAACACATCGCTGGAAAAGAATTCCTAGCGGTTCCGCTAAACACATGGCGGCAAGTTTCAATGTCTACGGGCGAATGCTGTCCGCTCCCTGGAAGCTGAACTCGCACAAGGACATCAGTCTCTTCATTACAGCTGTGAAAGTAAACGATATCTAATTAAGTACTGATGGCGGCGTGGTCTGCGTAGGCGGGATGCAAGATGATTGAACGCTTTGGAAGGTACGGCCAAATTGTTGTCCAAGGACGCTGACTGTCTCTTGTGGCGTTTGGGTTAATCCCCGCATGATGTGTGCAGAGCAGAAAGTCCGGCATGAAGCTTGCAACTGGTCTCTGGATCAAGGGGATATTCGTTGTTATCTTTACAAATGAGACACTGTTTTATCCGCATGGAACAATTAAAGACCACTATTGGGCTTCCAGCAGCCCAAGAAAATACACCGGATCTCGTATGCACCAGAGTGTGAAACTGATGGTTTGGGCTGGATTAACAAGCCAGAAAAGCTTGGGCCCATATTTCTTTTCCGCGAATGTGACCAGTAGTTTGTTGTTTTTAAGTACTAATGTCTTATCTCTTCAATGTATCGTCGTACTTGGAAATGCTGCAGATATTTGTGTTCCCACAGCTGGAGGCCGAAGGGGCATGCAGTACCATTTGTGGCAGCATGATGGTGCACCTGCGCATTCTACAAAACGGTGTGCTTACCTCACCGACATATTTGGTCACCATTAGATCGGACGCCGTGGACCAAGACATGGTTGGCGGCATCCGGTTTCAGATTTGTCTATCACTGTGGCCAGTAACAAAAGGCCTGCGCCTACAGAGGGACCATGGATGGCTTGCGCTGTACCACCCACAGCTCCATCCACACACCCCATATCCAGTGTAAACCCAAAGGAATAAGACCGGGAGGCACGGAGATGGAAGCCACGTTTCATCAACGGAGCCAGCCCATACTACTTCACAGACAAACGCAGGCACGCTGTATTTGGGGAATCAAGTGCACACAACGCAGTCGGTGGATCGTAGTCCGCAACACACTGAGTGCATGGAACCACTCTACGACCTTGCACGACCACAAGGACCATACACCCCGTCTCCTCCAGCAACGACCAACTGTCTCCTGGAGCCAGATGGACGAAGTAGTGGGTAATAGACAGGTAGGCACCTTGACAACATGCACATCAAGCGCAGCCACACCTGGGATGTCAAACAACAGCCAATCTCTCAAAATGCCGATATCGAATAAAGTAAAAGCATATGACGACATAAATACTCACTAAATGAGCATATAGAAGAAATTAGTTATAAGTGAATCCGTGATAAGTATAAAATGTGCGGAAGTTATTCAAAAAATACGACGCGATAAAATTATGCAAGTTTACCACAATTTGCATGAGCGACGTGTGCAAGTTGGGAGAAGATTATCAAGTATGCAGAATAAACCGAATGAAATGCAATAAATTGTATCCATATTAAAAAGACCTAGTTTAAGTGTAAGTTGATTTAACCCAACTGCGGTTAAGAAGCATTATGAATGCAACATAGCCATCTCAATGCTTCAATGGGGCGAATCGTTCAGTTTTTGAGGCATTCTGTTTAACTGGAAATGCAAATTATCGCCTGCATTCCTAGAACAAATACACCATCAGCTTCAAGAGACCACCCGAGCTCATTTGAAGTCATATTAGCGAAAGGAACTACTTCGCAGCTTCTTACTACATCGTCAAATTCCTAACCTCTCTCTGGCGGTAGCATATTCACATACCTTCAGGAATAAGGGTAAATTCGTACGCTTCCATGCATGCAAATAGCTGCGGTTGCACAAAGATACGTCGGTGATTTAGTTGTACTGGGTTACCGAAGAGTTTGGAGTCGGTGTGCCATCTCTGTCTACCGCCATTGCTTTAGGGAAATCTTGCCTGGAGTGCCATTTATCGAACACCCATCCTATAAGCAGTTGGGCGACCCACGATCATTCTGTGTCTTTATCTGTCACATAATCACAGCTCCCGTCTTTGTGTGGGTGCATGGACAGCCTGTCCTCGACAACGCGTCTACAAAGGAGGCTTGGAGAACAACGATTCTTCTTCTGTCGTTGGTTCCCGGCCCAAGGACTTTATAACTGCACCTTCAACTCATCACTAACTTAACCGATCATGTTCTTCACTCGTCTATTCATCCGAGGGATTCACCTGCGGGCGGGAGTTTTTTCAACGAAGACAGGCACAGCTAGAGGCGGACAACCTCCCTCAAGAGCTCTTTTTCATTGCCATGGAGCTGGTGATCAGAAGGGAATGTTTTCACAAGTCCTAAACTTATGTAGAGTCGCACCTAATGGTAGCTGCAAGAGGCATAACGGAATCGCGAAACAATTTGTGAATGCAAGCCGCTATCGGAGTATTAAAATTACACAAAAATCCAGATAAACAATTTTGAACTCCTTTGGCGAACCCTACATCCTAGCTGTCAAGGAGACTATAGCATATGTTATGGACATTGCAATCTGTGATGCTGATCGCCCGGAAAGAACCTACAAATTAAAGTTGATGGTTATCAGAGACAATAAGCAAAGAATACGTTGAACAATAATAAAGGAGTGCAATTTAGAAGAGGGGTAATCAACGCGTTTCCTGGAAAGCCGTCCAACTCGATTTTCTAACAGAAAGTAGTAAGCTCATGGTTTATGTGACGGGTTGAAAGGTATCGACATCTAGTATGGCTTTGGGAACGCTGTCTGATGCACTCATGAGACTGAATCAATGATGCGTATTCTACTTCGCTTCCTCTCTGCTCGGTCTATTGAAGTGTCTTGTTGTGAAACTGGCACTGTCGAGCATAGCTATACACTGTGTTTGGTGAAGTGGAGTGTCAAACGCACCTACAGTGCAATTGCCAGTTAGCGATTGTAGATGAGACTCACTTGTAGACCAACCAGAGAGAGCAGTAACTGACGCATTCCTTTCCCATTCTCGTAGAGTAGGCTACTTGCGCAGAGATCGTCGGAAGACTCCGGTTGGCTTGCACATGATGAGGAGACACGGGGTCTTAGTCTTGGTATGGAACTGATCAACTGGGCAAAATTTTCCCGATCCATTGACTGAAGAATGGTTACGCTTTCACCAACGCTGTCGAAGCCAGCCCGGCCGGCTCGACCCACAATCTGCTTATATTGGATTCCAGACATGAACGCACTTCCAATGTAGGGCTTTCGAATAATGACACTAAAGACAAATGAATGTGATGTCATCGGCCATGTGGAACAAATGACTCACCGTCTGGCTGGTAAATTAACTCCGGCCGCCAAAGTAGAAGTGCAGCACAAAACACTCAAAGTGCCATCAGTGAAAGCCTCTTCCAGGGAACTACGCTCCTCTTGCGTCAGACCACTATGGTGGTAGGCCACACCCTTTGGTACAGTCGCCTCGAGTACAGGACAACAGGAGTATACGGACAAATCCTGATCAGGCAGTGCGTCCACACGGAGGCTCGTCAACAGTTGAGCTCGTCGCTGCGTCAAGTTTTCCGCTTGAGCCGGAAAACAAGCAGCCATCGGAAGCAAATCGGCCAGCATACGAGCGGTATTTTCGCAGTGTGCTTTAGTGGGACAGAATACCAGGCAAGAATACCTTCCAGGTGATCCACCGGTGTTGTTCGGGTCTTGCATAGAGTAGCCCATTAAGGTCTCCGCGACCAAACCAACTACGTGGTCGGGGTCACGACTGAGCATGTTTTTGGTGTACTGTAGAGGAAGGTAGGATAGATACATAGCAAAAAGCACCCAAGGTACAAGTGTGTCGGGTATGAGAGTGTCAAAGCCATACAGCAAAAAAACGAATTAAAGCATTATTGCGGCTTATGTCCTGAGTGAGCTGCTATCTACGTAAGAGTCACGGTGAGTGCAAACCCAGAGAAGCAGTTAGGTCAAAGAGTTGCCACCACCGAATTAATGATTACTGCGGTGAATAAATCGCACAAAACTGGTGAGATTAGATAGAGTTTATGCGTTAGAATTCCATATCGCTGTTCGGACGGGAGGCCACTCAGTCAGCAGGAGGCGTAGAGAATTCAGTTAGGTAACACTGTTGGAAGTGAGAACGATTAGTCAGCACACGTTGAGAGGTAACAGCAAATCACAGCTTGTAAACTAACAATAGGATACACATATACCATATTGCGACTACTCACAGTCTGTGTGT